CTAATATAACTGTAATAATTTACAACCACCTCATAATGGTTGCATTAGCCAACAGGGTATCGGCCTGTGGATCCGCTTTTTTTTTCCAATCTGTGATAGACTAATATACATAAACGATTGTTAAATATGCGTAAATAATAAATAACCAAATTGTTATGCCATAGGCTGAAAAGCGCACAGCTGGAATGACATGAATCGAAGTATTGTTGAATAATGCGATGGATAGTAAGCAAATATGAATAATAACTGAAAATGAATTTCTCATATTCGTCTTCCGTCTAATATGATGTAATAATAAGTATATTCTTGCACGTTATTACGTCAATATGCTGAACTTTGATATTATCTGAAATCATTGTAAACATAGCTACCTATTATACAATTTTCTATTGTTCATACCACAAAGTGATTCGTAATCCCATAAACTTCAACTGGAACACCATTAACAAAGTGAGGAATGTTCCACTGCCGAATACGGAGATAAACTAGCCAAACCATGTTGGTTTCTTAGAAAATGAGACCAGCGGCCAAATTTGCATCTTCCGGACTTTTAATTACGGACGAGGTAATATAAAGGTTTGACCTTCAAAAATATATTCAAAGAAAAATTAAAAAGAAAATAGGCGAAAAAAATCGACAGTACTACTAGTAGTAGTCCTACTGCTACTGCATATTAATCATAACCCCGTTTCACCTCTAGATCCAGTCAACGCCGAAAGGATTAAAATCAAGACATGTACAAGAATCCGACTTGGGCATATCATAATGCCTAGTTTCTGAATGCCAAGACCTTTCTAATTTTCTAAGATAAGTTTCGCAAGCTTCTAACCCTATGGACACCTTGAAAATACCTGGAAAACTTAATCTCAATGGAATATTTCACTTTATTACAGCTGCTACAATGACCAACTAATCTACTCTGAAATAAAAAGAACACTTAGAAGAAGAAGAAATATTTGAATTTATTATGCGTGGCAAACTGACCATCTAATCTGCGTTAAAACAAAAGTGGAGTTTGTAAGGGATATGTACATTTTTGCGAGCGGGAGAAAGTTTACCACAGACGGGCAGATGAATGCTTGGCCATGCTGAGGTGCATTTCGAATTTGAAACCGGCCAAGAATTTATACACTTTATAAGGTTTTTGAAAATGGCTTCTGTGCGTCATAAAAGTTTTGAAAAAAAGCAAGTAAAACAAGTATGAAAATTAAATACGGTCGGAACCGAATCTTTAATACCCACCATCACCGTTTACCCTTAAAAAAAGGCAAAAAAAGTAAAAGAACAAAATTCTCACACTCTATAAAATGGAGCGGGCGCAGTTGTTTTCATCTGTTTTCAAAATAAAAGTTTTTGTCGTAAAAGCATTTCCTTTGAAAAGTTTAGCTCAATTCCAAATTCTTTCGCAAATTCTTAGGCAATGTGTTCATCTTCGCTAACGGAAGAATGTTTACCACAATTGCTACAAAGTTGGACGCACAGACAGATGGATTGATGAACAGGCGGACGTTTCAAAATTTGAAACTGGTCAAGAATTTGTATACTTGATGGGGTTTTCGAAGCTTGTTCTTGCGTGTTGTAAAGGCATTGAAAAAACAAGTAAATTTTGATACGTTATAATATTGGATAGGCGTGGTCAATTTTTACCATTTGTGTGCACGAATGTTACATCATCGCCCACGGAATATGCTTTCAAATTTTTGTACATTTACTTGCTATAGTTCATGAGTAATGAGCAAAAAAACAATTTTTCATTACTTTTGAAAAACAGAGATGTTCTAAATTTTCAGGATGCTGTGAACGTGTCCTTCAACCGATTTGGCCTGTTTTCAATACCAGCATGCGTGCAAGAACTTGCAATATTTTTGCCAAATTTGATGTGGATAGCTTTATGTTTGTGACTAGGACAATGTTTACAACAGACGTGACATACACGGACGGAAGGACAGGCGACATAAATCGATTTATGATTTGATGCTGATCAAGAATTTATGTACTTTGTGGGGTCGCTGATGCTGCCTTGTAGGCGTTGCAAACGTTTTGACAAAATGAATATACCCGTCAACCTTCGGGTGATACTATAAAAACAGCCTCCATTCTTTTACCAGACATAGGCATAGTGAGTCATATTATCTTCTAATCTGTAGACAATAGGGGAGATAATTACGATGATCGAATATATTTAAGAAGATTTTTGTTATCATATTTTCAAATGTTGCGAACAGAATGACTTCATTAACATATTTACTAAGAGTGAGTAAAAAATATTCGTCCTCAGTATTTGCACAGACTCATAAATCGTAAAAACGTTTATTTGTACAGCTGACAGGTACCAGCCTCGCTTTATATGCGGCTTAATCTTTTTGGGAAATGGCTGCGCGTCAAACCACAACGAAGAAGGAGTAAACCTTTGCTGAGAAGGATAGCAAATATTGCCGGAAATAATTTATAATTGCCACAGTCAACATGTTCTCTGTTATTTATGATCTTAATTATGAGCGCCAGAATTTATCAGTAATGTTTTTAACTTGCATTTCCCATGAATATTAACCATCGACTGGCTATAAAATGTTTCTATAGCTTTACGTGCTAATATGTGCATAATATTTTTCATCGTAATTTTTTATGATGGGGTTGGTGGGCTCGCCTTCAATAGCAGTAAAAAATTTCAAATAATAATAAAGCGAAAAGGAAGCGAAAAGAAACCGCCAAGAGTTCAACTAGATAACAATACATTTTCAAGTATCTGAAAATGAAATTTAAATTTCTTTAACTACGTCAGTGATACGGACTTGTGATCACGTAATTATGGCAAATTTTTCTCAGCTTATTTCTGAAAGGCTTATCAACGTCAAATATTTATAAAAACTTACTAATGACTACGCGGAAATAAAATGATGACGCAACAGTTCTCGGAAAAAAAGCATATTTGAAAAGACCTTCTAGATCGCGTTGCTGTTGCGAATTTGCAAAAAAAAAAAATTTCGAAATATTATTTAACTATCTCCTAACGGATCTAATTAGCTATTGTTCTGACTTAGCATTTTTTTTTTGTAACCAATTTGAAAGGATAAATGTCGATGGAACAACTAACAGCAGCGAAAATGTCATTTTTTCGCAACGACGAGAAGCACAGTTTCGAGGTAAACGTAAATTGTGGGTAACGCAAAATTTTACTCGAAGAACTGAGTTCTGAACAATGAACGCTATTGGTAAATCTGTTAGTTCACTAGAAAATACAACAGCATCCAGTTTAAACGCAATAACTTCAATCCACATTATCTCATCAAACTCACATGGAAGGTGAGATTTATTGCAGAACATGAACTAAAACAACGTAAATTGCACTGATATAATAGAAACACAAAATCCCGCCACAGCCATTAATGCGACCTCTAATGCAATGAACTATCAACGGTAAGATCAACTTAAAACTCTGCCACAATGTTAGTTTGTATTTTGATTCTCATATTCTGTAGTGCGAATTGATTGCACGGCGATTTAAATCATTACGAGTATCCGTCTTTTAACATCACTCCCAATCACAAAGCGTATCCATAGGATAGGATTTGCAATCATTGCATTTCCCACATTCACCGATCTTAGCTCCGTAGGTAATCCGCTGAGCAAGAATTGGGTAACTTCTACCAGTCACCAAGAAATTAGAAGTATAGCGACTGTTTTTTTATTTCGCTTAAAATAGTTGCAGGAACGCCCACTTGCAGACTTAATAATATCGAGGCTTAAATTCGATATATCCGATTGTTTAAAAAGGACTCTTTAGATGTTGTAAAAAATGGGATTGTAAGGTAAATATCGGAGCAGATATTTGCTTTCGCAACATTTGAAAAGCAGCCTGTGATGAATTTCTTCACTATTGGCATCAACCAGGCACCATATTCTAAATGCGAAGTCTTTCTTTTTAAATATTTGGTATACGCCGTCTTGAATTGACTGACTTACCCGATTGAAATTAGAGGGGCAATCCTAAGATATATAACAGTAAAGAGTTCTTATACCAGCGATATGTGTCTACGTTTATAGATATATCTACTTTAACGATTGATTCAACATTTTCCGATATTTTGCAAGTCGAGCGAATGCCCGTAATTGATCAGCAATTGCTGATATTAGAATATTCTGAAATCTATAACCTGCGGCTCAAATATTTGTCAAATCCTACCCTCTAAGATCCAGTTACAAAGTTTGTTGTTTAGAAAAACCCTATGATTCCTACGATATATTTGGTTATCACAATGGAGACATCATAAAGTGTTTTTCTTACGGACTCCATAGCAAATATATATCACGTTCTGGTTTAAACTGTAACGTCCTTATTAGGCAAAATGGCAAGGAAATGGGTGATGAAAAAGAGACTCTAGATTGCTTATAGAAAGGTGCCCGTATTTCTTCCCATTTTTAAACACACAGGTGTTCAAGTTCAACTATATGTAGAATGTTGAAATCACTACCTATTGCATTTCGAACGGGGCAACTCTCTAGAAACAGTTGCTATGCTGAATCAGATAAGTGATTCTACAATTAAAGCATCGATGTTTTTTCTTTTCCCTCTGTAAACAGTGAAGAATTACCAAACTTGGAATCCAGTGTAGAAACTAAGCAAATTGAACTTCACTACAACAATATTTTAGCGCATTATAAAAATCGTACGGAACCAAAAGATTTCGGGTTAGAGATTTCATTCGCCATTAACTAAGAACATTGAAAATATTCAAAAAAATTACTGATGGATTCAAGTCCTCTGTTGCGTTGAAATAGGAAAAAAATTTCAATATTTATATAAACCATTTTAGACGTTGCTTTTTTTTTTTTAAGTATTATCAATTTCTTATTTAACATAGAAAGTCAAAGTCATCAAAAGAGGATAAGTTGAACTGCACAAGTAAATTTTTTTTTGTTTAATCCTCCTTTTTTCCCACTAAATGTTGAACATGGTTTAAGATTAATAATATGAAGTCCGCTATTGAATTTTGATAGTATTAAAATGAACTTTCATTGGCTGCTTTTTCTTCCAGTGCGTGGAAATCGCTGAAGAAATTGCGAGTCAGCAATTTCATTTCAGTGTTCAGATATTCGGGAAATTTTACTAAAATAAATTATTAGGTTTAATGCTACGCGAGGGATAATGGTTCAATTTACATCTTACTTTTGAATTCTATTATAAGGTCCCCGTACTCGTAAGTCGGGACACCTCTGCTCTTTGATATGTCATCAGGACTTTTATATTTCGGTAATCCTTCGTTGGGTAGAATTTTGACGAAATCTGGCGTAACTACATCACTAATAGAAACTTTAATTTTCCGCTTATCCAAAGTCTCAATCACGAATCGGAATCCAATTAGGGCCTGACATAAAGAAATTTCATGAGTATAAACAATATTGTAAAGATTGCGTCTCTTAAACACATCGTGCGGTTTGTCTTCGACAATAAATATTATATCAGAGGGAATTTTCGTGGGAAATCGATCTCCCTCTTCCTTAAACGAAAAACGGGTGCCGGCCGTGATACCCGGTGGTATATTTAATGTTAATGTTTTCTTGCGTTTCTCTGTTGCAAGCTCGTCTTTATCTATGAATTCCTGGCGCCAGACATGCATTAACTTAACGCAACCGAAATATACATCTTCTAGGGATAAGGCAACTGTTTTCTCAACCGGTGGCTCTTTTGTGCGAACTCCAATACCGTTACTCTTGTTTGTATAAAGCGGCGGTGGGTTTGTTATAGGATCCATAATGTTCGCATATGGCGAATAAGTGCCAAACACTTCATGGTAAACTTTCATATGATCGCCATGATAATGATAAGGGGGAAAATAGCCGTTCGGTAAAAGTATGCCTTGTATTAAGCCGGCCTCGCCGTATCGATCGTAAATTGAACGATACAAATCGTTACCTTTTAGGAGAGGAGTACTTTTCATCTTTATTCTATTTTGCAACCTAAAGTCTACGTACCCAAAACATCCAAAGCCATATTAATATAAGCCCATTGCTTGTTTAAACCCATCGGAGACATATGCGTCAGTTGGTTTTCTTCAGCCAAAGGCACAAATTCTTTGCAGTGCTTCGGATCACGGTATGGGTTTAAACGGATAGCCAATTTACGGTAAGCTAGATATATTTCCCCTTTTGTTGCACTCCTTTTCACGTTCAAAATTGTATAATAATCCAGTTCTGAGAGATTCATGGCTTCTAAAAACAAATAAATCAATTTCTCGAAAATATAGATACGTTAATGTGATTTAATTTCCTAAGCAGAATATGGAATAAAATGTGAAATTAAATAATATGAATAATTTTCCCCTTTTGATAATCATGATCGAAGGATGAGTGGTATATTGATATCGTCAAAACGTTTGCAACGCCAGGAAGGAAGCATAAGAGACCCAACAAATATATATATATATTCTTGATCAGCATCAAATCCTAAATCGATTTGTGAAGCCTGGCCTTCTGTCCACCTGACTATCTGTGCATCTGTCCGTCTATGTCATGTCCGTTGTAAAACATCCTCCTGGCTGCAAAAATGAAGCTATCGACTTCAAATTTGGCAGAAACAGTGGAAGTTTTCGCACGCACGCTGGTATTGAAAATGGTCAAAATTGTTCGAAGGACACGCCCACAGCATCACTAAACTGAGAACATCTCTGTTTCTCCAAAGGAATGAAATATTGTTTCCTAGCAAATAAATGTACAAAAATTTGAAAGCATATTCCATGGGCGATGGTATAGCATTCGTGCACAAAAATGGAAAAAATTGACCGCGCCTGCCCAATGATGTAGTGTACAATCAAACTTGGATTGAATACCTTCATAATGCGCAGCAACAAGGTTCAAAAACTCCATATAGTATACAAATTCTTGGCCAGTTTCGAATTTGGAATACACCTTAGAATGTCCGTCTGTCCAACATTCTTCCGTTAGCAAAAATGACGGTACTGTCTACAAATTTGCAAAAGAATTTTCATTTTGAAAATGAAAGAAATCAGCTGCGCTCCCTTCATATTGTAGAGCACAGAAATTTTCATTTTTCCTTCTTTTGTCTTTTTTAGGATAACGTTGACGGGTATAAAAGATTCGATCTCGACCGAATTTAACTTTCTTACTTGCTTTGTTTTTTAGTCCGGTGTTTGACACATTCCAGTTTATGAACAACGTTCCTGTTGAATAGTTTCCATTCTTTGTTGCTCCCGCACTTAATTTCACCATTACATACATACATTACCATGACGAAAATTTACTCTTCGCATTTCATTTTTGTCACATACTAATCCATAGAGTTTATTGTATGTAAATTGTGGTCATGTCGTCAATTTAGTTATCCACTAATCTATATCCGTGAGATGGACAATATATATACATTTTAAATTGCTTTACTTACCACGCGTTCCATCAGCAAAAGATGAATTCCGGTTGTACTTCAAAACTTACCTTAGCTCGAAAGTTAAGTTAGTGGTGAAGTGCTGATAGGAAGCCTTCAGAGAAAGATTATGTACACTTCTATGGTACCTACAGGTTAACTCGAGTGCAGAGCCTCTAAAACCATTCATTTCTTATCGAAAATTGTCACAATTCGTTAAGTCATCCAATAAAGCCAATTCTGCGTCTAAGCGACGTATTGCAGCACGTAATAGTAGACCTTAAAGTTAGAGGCATACCTATATCAGCACTTAAAAATACTATCAAAAAAAAAAGAAGAAGAAGAAGATACATATAGAATATTTATATGGATTTCTTTCACTGGGACGTCCCGGTTTTCTTTGTTTTTCACGTTCGCTGCAGTTTAGTGGTGGTCGCTAGAATAAACCGCTGCAAGAAGACAACCGAAATTCCCAACGATTTGCAGACCTAGCATAAATTTTGATTTATCGTTCACGAACATTTTTCAGAAAAGTTATTATATATATTTTACACAAATTTGAAGAGCTAACACTACACACCATACAATGAGCGAAGAAGATTGGTAAGGGGCGTTGTAAATAAAAAGGAATATTAATGTTGTGCTATACCATTAACAGCAACATTTTGAGAAGCTTTCGTCACTTGTCTCATACAGTTTTCCATCAGGAGAAAATATTATTATTTGCTTAACCAATCGCATAGCGACTTATAATCAACGAAGTGGATAAAGATAGTAGAGAGGGTTTGTATTTTTCTTTTCATTAAATCAAAGCAATTTGTTATATATTTAGACTAGCGGCATTCATAACGAATCCATAACATCGCCTGAGGTACAATTACTTGATGTCTTTAGCGCACAAGTGGCTAACGTTGTTCGGGTAAACTTGTGCAATAAATGCAAATTAAATGTATAATGAAAGATTACCATATTGCAGACACGTACCGGTATGCCGCTAGAGGATACTTTATGGCATAACGACATATTGATATCATTCTTCAATGCTTGGAGCAGCATTTAAGTCTGAAAATAAACTAAATTTAGTTTAATGTATATACTTGGTGTTTGCATGTATTTTGATCATTTATTCACTTGGAAAAGCTATTTGTTGAGAGAAATTGTTGCAATATATATTAATCAAAATATTTTCCATCTTTCTGCCAACATGACGATATTATGTCGAACGATCCATTTTCGCATTTCTCCAGCATTACGCAACTCCCTGTCAGTCAAAGTGATAACCAGATCACTGAGTGAATCAATCAAGTACAAGTTTTTACAAGTAATCGTAACTGATGGGAAATATTCAATGAAATCATAAGAGGACGCAACTCCAATGCACTGAAAGTCTCTATGGATCAGCTTTATGCAAAAATTAGTTAAATAAGTTTTTTTTTTAAATTCATTAACAAAGGTTTTCTTTATTTTTATTTTAAGAAATAAATTAAACTGATTATAAAACAAATGGAAAACTTTAAGTTGTTGATTATAAACGCCGTCTATAACAGTGCACCACAGGAAAGTTTAGAATGCTTTTCTTTGTTTCTTTTATATAATTTCTATCTTTACGAGTTTCTTTGTTTTATGTTTGGTAAAGAAAAACTTATCGCTACATCTAGCGATGTACTTTGTTTTTATATATCAACTAGATAGGTTGACATCATTGTAACTTCGTCATTCCTTTTCGAACAATTGTTACAAGGAGTTGAGAAAACGTGAAGACGAGACAAAGAAGCATTTATTTGTAAGGCAATACGACATTAGGAATTAAAGCGCCTTCCATACATATTTCAGGAATAACAAACACAAGACTGTCAATATTTTTATACCCATCATTGAAAGATGAGTGGTATATTCATTTCGTCAGAACGTTTGCAGCGAAAAGAAGAAGGAAGCATCAGAGACCCGATAAAGTATATATATTCCTGATCAGCATCAAACTCTAAATCGATTTAAGCATTTCTGTCTGTCCGCCTTTTCGTCTGTCCCTCGGTGCAGCGTCTATTGTAAATATCCTTCTGGCCGCAAAAATGACGCTATCGACTTCAAATTTGGCAGAAGCAGTGGAAGTCCTTGGACGCACGTTGCTATTGCAAATGGGCTAAGTCGGTCAAAGGACACGGCAACAGGACCATATGAATTGAGAACACCTCTGTTTTTCGAAAGAATTAAAAGATTACTTTTTTGCTTACTGCTCACAAAAATGACAAAAAAAATAGAAAAAATTATTAAATATATATATATTACATTCTATACATATATACATACTATACATATACATGTATATATATTGGATACATACATCAACGTTTAATTTTTTTTGCCCATGCCTTTATAACGCGCGGAAGTGAACTTCAAAAGTTCCATAAAATTAATCAATTCTTGTTCGAATTGTCAAGCATGTCCGTTTGTTCGTTTCTCGATTTGTCCGTCTGTCAAGCTGTGTAGTATCTGTGGTAGCGATTCTATCTCTAATGAAATCGCCTACAAATTTACAAAAGAATTTGGAAGAGACTTAAACTTTTCCAATGACACACCTACAACGCCCGTACGCATAAGCGGCGAAAAGTTTAATTTTGAAAACAGAAAAAATCAGCCGCACCCATATCTGCATATCATAGATTATGAAGAGTTAGTTCTTTTCATTTTCTTCTTTTTTAATATAACGATGATAGGTATGAAAGATTCGGTCACAATCGAACATAATTTTCTCACCTGTTCAATTTCAATGTAGATAAAAGTTTCAAAACAACCGTGATCTGCCTACATAGGTATAATAGCAATCATTCTTTTGTTGTCAAATCAGTTTTATTTGAAATTTTTCTGAGAAAAGCAGAATTTCGTTACAGGACTTCTAGCGCAATTTCTGAAGCCCTGCTCCTATATTTATCTTCTTCGTTTGCTTATCAAGGTTTCGCTTAATAAAAAGAATCCGTTCTCTATGAGGAAAAAAAGTCTACACCGTCTGTTGCAGTATATTGGCTGGCCATTCTTCATGTGCTTAGCTATGGTTTCCCATGAATTGGGATGGAAAGCTGATCGAGTAAATATTTATAAATCTCTTCCGGAAGGAGGCAATTTTGCTAGTATGGAATTATCTTTGGCATAAACTTACCAAACCCAAGCAAATAAATTATTTATCGCTAAATTAAAAAAATACAAGTTTTTTATATTGATTCAATTTATACCCTGTGTACAAAAAAAAAAGAATGGATCCCTTCCAGGAAGGCAGTAAAATTGAAGGAATTTTTATGACATTTCGATCAGTAACTGTAAGTCTACCGTAAGTTGTGGCTTTGTCGGAAAATTGTTCGCAGATCAAGTCAAGTATATTAATAATTTCATTCATCCTAACAACAGTAGGCTCTGATTTTCAAAACTCCAGTACGTTCCAGACAAGCTATTATTTCGCGCTGGCACTTCGACACCTGTACGTAGTCGCATTATAAAACATTCGCTTTTAAAATGAAAGGAAAAGCGCGATTTCTGAGCGCGATTTCTGAGCGCGTTCAACTTTGAGATGTTAAGTCATCATGACGCGTCCAGAGTCGAGTGTGATTTTTGTGTGTGCGTGCGTGCTTTTTTCTGGAGATAATGTAAGCAATGGAGCGTTTTTTGTTTAACGCACCTTCATTCGTTTCTTGATTATACCGTCTCACTATAACCACCGCGTATTGGAAAGACAATCGAAGACACAAACACACGAACATTCTATCAATTTAAATTACTTATAAAAAATAGAAATTTGAAGAGAAAGGGGGGGGGGGGGGGGCACCCCACACTGCAAA